GTCTGGGGTGGGTGCAGTAGGGATGACAGATCTGGGTGTGGAGTGGACGTCCAACGGGAAGCCAGTGGTCTGTGCAACCCTAGAAGGTGAACCACGTGATTCTTCCTTTCCTGGGGAAGGTGGGGGTGGAGGGTGCAGCCTGAACCAAGGCCCACCAGGCTCCTGCTGAGCAGCCCACTGCCTTTGAGCAGAGGACCCCACACTGGGCACTCCCAGCCCTGGACTGGGCTGGCCCCTCTGCTGTCCCCAAAGGGCTGAGGCCCCTTCTTGCCTTCCCTGCAGACGAGGAGTCAAGAAAATAATAATGCTTGTGCCCTCTGTCTACGACGTGGGCATGGCCCTCTGGCCCTACAGCATGGACCTGACTCCCAGGTCCAGGGAACGGGGGCCAATGGGAGAGGCCAGTGCTTGGTGGAGGGGGGCCTGGCAGCCCGTCTGGGACCCTTCACCCTTCCAAGGTGGCGCTAGTGGTAAAGAGCCTGTCTACCAATGCCAGAGACCTAGGAGATGCATGTTCGATCCCTGGGTGGGGAAGATCCCCTGGAGGAGGGCATGGCCACCCACTCCAGTATTCTCGCCTGGAGAATCCCATGGACAGAGGAGCCTGGCGGGCTACAGTCCACGGGGTCGCGCAGACTTGGACACGACTGAATGACTGAGCAGGCACCCTAGGCTGCTGTCGCGTATGTGCCACGCCCTTCTACGGGGCTCTCATGAGGGAGCGCCTGCCGTGTACCAGGCAGGGTCAGCAGTGGTGCAGACAGAGATGAGGACTCACTCGCCTGTGGTTCCAGAGGGAAAGGCGGAGACAGGGTGCCGCCCGCCACCCCCGCCACTCTCCGCAGGAGCTCGGCACTGCTGGCCTCTGTCTAGACGCTCCAGGGAGGCGTCTGAGCAGCACAGGTCGGTGCCTGTGTAAGTGAGGGTGCTGGTAGGAGCGTGAGTGTGATCTGAGTGTGTGCCTGGGTGTGTTTGTATGGGGAGTTGTGTGTCCCTGAGGTGTACACATGGGTGTTTTTGTCTGCATGCACCTGCATATGAGTGTGCAGTACCCGTGTGCACATGTGTGTGGATGTCTGTTGATGTATGTGAGCATGTGTGTGCCCATGTGTACCCATGGGTCCTGTGTGTACCTATGAGCTCGTGTGTGTGTGTGTATGTGTGTGTGTGTGTGTGCATGCCCTGGGCCCGTGTGGGTGCACGTATACTGTGTCCACATGCATGCAGGTGTGATCACAGGTGTGGGGCTGGTTTATCTGGTAGGGTGAAGTGGAAAGGCCAAGGTCCCACCTCTGGTAGCCCCAGGGAGTCGATGCAGGGGCCCCCCATCTGCAGGGCTCCCGGGCGGGTCTCTCTCCCCCCCACCCCCACCCGGGCACAATCATGGGAATCCTCAGCCTCCGTGGCTTCCAGGAAGCCCGGGTGGTGTGGGGCAGAGCTGCCAACTTGGGCTGTGGTGCAATCTGCCAGCCGAGCCCCTTCCGGAGCTGCGGGTTCCTCTGGGTGAGGGGAAGCTGCCCTCTGCGACCTCCCCTGCCTGTCTTGGTGCGTCCTGGGGGCCAGGACACACCTCCCACCCCATGGCCTCACCCACAGGAAGCCGGGTTGGGGGGCAGGCGATGGGGGAGGTGCCACAATGGGTGCCCCGCCCCTCGTGGGAGGCCATGGACCCCGCTGCTCCCAGGCTGCGGCAGTCTTGCCAACAACTCCGGGGACGTCGCTGGACCAGGTGCCCCCCGGCCACAACGATGTTTGGCAGGAAGCGCAGTGTCTCCTTTGGGGGCTTCGGATGGTGGGTAACAGATGGGAGGGCTGGGGAAGGGGTGGAAGGGAACTTGACCGTGAAGCCTGGTTGAGCCTGTGCCTGGGACCTGGTCGGTATTGCGAGGGTGGGGGGGTACTTTCAGATGCCTGGGCCAGATGGAGATGGAAGATCCCGGGAGGGATGGAGGGGAATCAGACACCGGGCTTTTCCTCACTGTCCCTTGGGTACAATCTTCGAGGGAATTCAGAGGTCGGAGCTGGAGGCAATGTGACTCTGGCTGAAGAATGTGTGTTTCTGTGTCTTGCATTTCCATATACGTGTATGTGCACCTGTGATGATTGCAAACGTGTGTGTGTGTATCTGAGACTATGTGTGTAGGTGTGCATGTCTGTGTGACCGGGTGTGAGGTGTGTGCCTGGCCGGGTGGGTGTGCCTACGCGTGTGACCTTGTGTGCCCTGTTTCTGGGTGCCCCTCTGAGCTTCTGGATCTGCTCGTGCTCTTGTCTGTGCACGTGTGTTATGCTCCCGTCTGGGTCATCTTTGTGACTTCGCTGCAGGGAGAGTGTGTGGCCTGCGCGGGCGTTTGGATGGCCGCCTCTGGGCAGGGGTAAGCAGTGAGCCATGAGAGCCCAGAGCCGGGCAGCAGGCTTGCCTCCAGGGGCCCGCCCCCTCCCTCCCCTGCAGCCAATCCTAGCTCTGTCCGAGCCTCAGCAGCTGGTTCTGTGCTCTGACCTCTCCCCTCACCCTCTGTGCCCCCCTTTTGCCACTGAAGTTTCTGTCTGAGACCCTTTTCCTCCCTGTAGGGCCAGAAAGTGGGAGAAACTGAGGTCAAAGACTTGTCTCTGGTCACCAGCTGCTGGCAGCTTCTCCGTGGCTGGGGAGCCGGGTCTAGTGGTTTTCATTATCGGTTTCCTTTCAGCTTCTAGGCTGGGAGTGCTGTCATAAAAAAGGTTCCCAGTGCTGGGGTGGGAGGAGGGTGGCCAGGGCTGTCCTGGTGTGGACGCTGGGTGGCCCGTGGTGGGGGGCGTGAGCGGTGAGGGAGAGTGGGAGGAAGCACCGGGGCTCCCAGACATGGGATGGCAGGGCCTCCTGGTGGGGCTGGGGGGTTAGGGTGGGCATTGCGCCGGGATGGCTGCTAGCAGGGAGCAGTTGCTGCAGTTGGTTGAGGGCTAAATTACAGATTCCTGGAGCCCTGGTCCACCCCAGACAGTACAGAGAATCTTGGGGGTGTTTTTTTCAGAACTCTGTTGGATGCTGGATGCTGAGTGTCCACTAGCTCTGGGGTGGACCAGGTGATGTGAATGAATGGCATGGGGCGGGGGAGGAACTTGGGGGCCTTGGTTTCCTGAAAGGGAAAAGCTCAGTTGTCATGCTGCCCTATCTCCCCATCTCAGCCCTGCCAGACCATCGGCCCCGCCCTCAGAGGCCACACCCCAGCGTGGGAACCCTATTGCCTGAGTAGGTGTGGATGTGGGTGCAGGGACCGAGCTGTCGCAGCCCAGAGTGTGACCCAGAGTGTTGGCGGGTGGTCGAGGGGAGCGAGAGAGCGCCGTGCTGGGAGCCCGGGGAAGGCTGCCGCACCTTTGCTTTTTGAGAAACCCAGATGGGACACTTCCGCTCCCCAGATCTCCGTGTCCCCCCTGTATAAGTGGAGTGTTTCTGCCTTACCCACAGCACAGGGATGCTGTAACTAAGGAAAAAAGTTTCCTTGAGAAAATGTAAAATCTAAGGGCTTACGGATCGGGGTTGCACTTGGGTCGCTGTGGATGACAGATATTCCAGCAGAATGCAAGGATCTGCTTCCTGGGTCCACCTTCCTCCTATTTGGTGGGTGGGATGGGAGAGGAGGCGGGTCTGCATTCCAGAGGTGGGAATGAGACCCCTGGGGACCCCATGGAAGCCCCGAGGAAGGGGACCAGGAGGCGCGTGGATTAGAAGCTGGGAGGTGGGACCTGGGCTAGGAACCTCGGGTGTGGCTTCGTTTGCTGCCGGGAACTGAGACCCGAAGGTGCTGGGAGTTTACTCAGAGTGAAAGGACCCCGCCCCCTGCTCCAGGGCTTGGTGCTGACTCGAGATTTCTGTGGCAGTTCTGCATCCACACCATGTGGCCCCTGACACCTGTCCCCTCCCCCTGCTGACCCCAGTCATTGTGTGGATGGGGAGCTTGTGGCAGAGCTGAGGTGCTGGACAGGGGTGGCTGTAAGACCTTTCCAGGGTCTCTAGCTTGGTGGCACTAATAGTGATGATTGGTGATGGTTGGATGGCATCAATGACTCAATGGACATGAGTTTGAGCAAACTCCGGGAGGTGGTGAAGGACAGGGAAGCCTGGCTCGCTGCAGTCCTTGGGGTGGCAAAGAGTCGGACGTGACTTAGCGACTGACCGACTGAAGAACAACCATGGTGATGATGACATGGGGCAGTGGTGACGCTGATGGTGATGCGACACTGGTGTTTGTGACCCCTGAACAAGAGGAGACACAGACAGTGGGAATCTCACCTCCCTTTCTGTCTCTGGAGAGAGGAAGGGGCCTCTTTTATCAGCCATAAGGGCTGGCATATGCAGAGGGTAAAAATAGAAGCCTTGAAGCCCTGCCTTGTCTTCTAGTGAGGGTGGGCGCAGGCTGGGCGGAGTTGCTGGCTGCGGGGACCGTCTGCCGCAAACGTGATCTGCTCTGAGCTCCCGTGCCTGACAGATCCCACCCGCCACGCGCCCTGCAGCTTGCTGTCAGGTTCTCTCCCAGAAGTGGCTTGTGCCTCCTTGGGCGGTAGTGTTAGCTCCCTGAGGAGGAGGGTCCCTGGCGCTGGAGGTTGTGGCATCTTTCTAAAGCAGAAATATCCATGCGTCGATTGTCCAGCTGCTGTGGCCCCCCCCCCCCCCGAGGCTGGGTTGCAGGGTCCTCTAGTGTGGGTTACGAAGGGAGATGACATTCAAAGTGGTTAGGGTTTGGATTCAGGTACTGGGATCCAGGGTGGACCAGTGATTCTGAGCCGGTTTCCTCATCTCTAAGACAGGGAGAGTAACAGGACCCATCTCACCGGGTTATGAGTGGCTTCAGCTCTCCGAGAGCTCCCAGTCCTCCCTTCCGCAGCCTGGAGGAGAACTTCAGCGTTGTCCCCTGCAGGGCCCTGCGGGGCCTGTGGTCTGGGCTGGCCACAGGACCTGTCGGCTGCAGGTGCTGGGTGGGAGCCCACAGCCCCCACACTGACGGAAGCCCTTGCTTTTCTTTTGGCAGGATCGACAAGACCATGCTGGCGAGCCTGAAGGTCAAGTAAGTAGCCACTTCCTGTTATGTAAAGGTCAGAGGTAACAGCAGACAGAGCGGCGCTGGGGCCTTCATTTTCCTCCTGGTTGTGGAAATTATGAGCGGGGCTGTTGCATGTCAGATTCTCCATCTAAGTCCAGGGGCTCATGGACTGGGAGGTTGCTGGACTGGGTTTTTGATTCCTGAAATATCTGGGGAAGAGAGCAGGGGTACCAGCATGGGGAAAATGTGGCATGTGAAAAGCAGTGAAACTTTCAGGCCACAGCTCAAGGGTGTAAAAGAGATAATTGTATTTTCCATCACTTTAATTTTTATATGGAGTCCCAGTCCCATGGGGCTGTCTTTCTGACATTCCCGCCTACTTGGAAAATTGTGCCACGCAGTTCTAGGACCTGCCAAAACACCCCAGTGTGTGTGTGTGTGTGTGTGTGTGTGTGTGTGTGTGTGTGGTCAATTGGTCATTGAGTCATCAGTTACCAGACGTCTGTCATCCTGTACAGACTGGCCTCGGGAGCTCTCTGAGAATTCCAGCACCAGATTCAGGGTCTGGGAATCATTTGCCTCGGTTTACCATGTGTCTAACCATCTGCTGGGGAGCTCTGAGAAAGCACCCCTTTGTCCTAGAACCCCTGACTGATCGTCTCTCATCACCTTGGCTCCTTTTCCCTCCATGTTTATGGCCAAACATTTTGTCTGCTTCTGGATCCTCTTTCCCTCTTGCGTGCCCAGTCGCTCAGTCGTGTCCGACTCTTTGCAGCCCCATGGACTGTAGCTTGCCAAGCTCCTCTGTCCATGGACTTTTCCAGGCAAGAATACTGGAGTGGGTTGCCATGTCCTCCGGCAAGGGCTCTTTCTGACCGAGGGATTGGACCCATGTCTCTTATGTCTCCTGCATGGGCAGGCGGATTCTTTACCATTGCGCCATCTTGCATGAGATGCTAGGTAAGAAGCTGAGTTACTAAGGGGTGTAGAGTAGTAAGAATGGGTTTTCGATGCTGTCTTGGGATGTCTAATTCAATTTCACAAGTGTTTATTGAGGGCCTGGTTGTTTTAACTGGTAAAGATGATACATGTAACCCGGAAGGGAACGAGTACAAGGCAGAGTGAAGCGTTGGGGTCAAGGACCAGTGTTGAGAGTGGGACCTCATTGGGGTCTCTGGGTACCTGGGGTCTGAGGGCTTAGGCCTTGGGAAGGTGGTGTTGAGAGGATTGTTTGGGATAGCCTGTAGGACCATGTTCCTTCTTATGCTTGGTTAAGAATCTTTTGATTGCAAGAAGCAAAAATCTAGTGTAATCTGGTTAAGCAAAAGATGAAATTTATGGAAAAAAATAACAGGGTGCCTCAGGGAACCCTGAGCTGGAGCTAGAGCTCAGCAAGACTGAATAGGAGCTGGAAATCCATCCCTCAAAATCCGAGCTGACTTCCCTGTGAAAATTGATAAACTGATCCTAAAATTCACATAGAAAATTCAAGGATAGTCTTTTATTTTTAAATTAATTTTAAATTAAAATTTATTTATTTATTTTTGACTGCATCAGGTCTTAGCTGCGGTTCAAGGATAATCTTGAAAAAGAAGAACAGAGTTGCAGAATTATACTTCCTCATTTCAAATTTACTACCCAGTGACAGTAATCAAGAGAGTTCAGAACTGGCATAAAGATGGACATATTGATCGGTGGAATAGAATTCAGAGTCCGGAAATAAGCCCTCACATTTGTGGCTGGTTGGTTTTCTTTTTAAAAAAATACTGATTTGTTTCTTTTTGGCTGTGCTGGGTCTTGGTTGCCGCGTGCAGGCTTTTTCTGGCGGCTGTGAGTGGGGGCTACTCTTTGTTTTGGTGCCCGGGCTTCTCACTGCAGTGACTTCTTGTTGCAGAGCACCGGCTTGAGGTGTGCAGGCTTCAGTGGTTGTGGCTCGCAGGCTCTTGAGCACAGGCTCAGTAGTTCTGACACATGGGCTTAGTTGCCCCCTGGCATGTGAAATTTTCCTGGACCAGGGATAGAACCCATGTCCCCTGCACTGGCTGGCCGATTCTTATCTACTGTACCACCAGAGAAGTCTGTCAGTTAATTTTTTTTTATTATTAATTTACTTGGCTGTACTGGGTCTTAGTTGTGGCATGTGGGATATAGTTCCCTGATCAGGGATTGAACCTGGGACCCCTGCAATGGGAGCACGGAGTCCCAGCCTGTGGACCACCAGGGAAGTCCCCGTCAGTTGATTTTCAACAAATGTGTCATGACAGTTCAATGGAGAAAAATAGTCTTTCAACAAATGGTGTTGGGACAATTGATATCTACATGCAAAAGGATGAAATTGAATCCTCCTCTCACACCATATATAAAAATTAACTCAAAATGGATCAAAAACGTAAATGTAAGAGCCCAAACTATCAAAGAAAACACAGATGAAAATCTTTGTGACCTTGGATAAGGCAGTGGTTTTTTGGGTATGACACTAAAAGTACAAGCAACAAAACCAGTAAGAACAGCAAATTGATTAATTTAGCTTCATCAAGATAAAAAACTTGTGCATTACAAAGAACACCATCAGGAAAGTAAAAAGACAGTGCACAAAATGAGAGGAAATATTTCCAAATCACACATGTAATAAGGGACTTATATCTAAAACATGTAAAGAACTCTAACAACTCAATAATACAAAGGCAAAAACAATTTAAAAATGGGCAAAGACTTGAGAGTTCCCCGGTGGCCTAGTGATTAGGATTCTGGGCTTTCACTGCCGTAGCCTGAGGTCAGTCCCTGGTGAGGAACTGAGATCCCGCAAGCTTCATGAAGTGGTCAGAAGAAAATTAAAAAATGGGGCAAAGACTTTGAATAGACATTTTTGCAAAGAAAATATATAAATGGCCAACAGGCAGATGAAAAGATGTTCAATGTCATTAGCCATCAGGGAGCTGCAGTCAAAACCACGGTGAGATACTAACTCATCCTCACTAGAATGACTATAAAAAAGACAGATAATAACAAGTGTTTTGTGAGAATGTAGAGGAATCAAAACCTTACACACTGATGGTGGAAATGTAGAATGTCACAACTGCTTTGAAAAGCAGTTTGGCAGTTTCAAACTTCATGGTGACGCAGTGGATAAGAATCTGCCTGCCAAAGCAGGGACATGGGTTTGGTCCCTGGTCTGGGAAGATTCCACATGCTACGGAGCCACTAAGCCCACGAACCGCGACCGTGTCCTGCAACTCCTGAAGCCCATGCAACCTGGAGCCTGTGCTCCGCAACAAGGGAGGCCCCTGCTATGAGAAGCCTGTGTACCGCTTCTAGAGAGTAACCCCTGCTCTCCACAACTAGAGAAAAACTGTGCGCAGCGATGACCCAGCACAGCCAAAAGTAAATAAATAAATATAGCAGTGTGTGCATGTCAAAAAGAATTTGGCGGTTTCTTAAAAGGGTAAACAGAATTGCCATGTGACCATCAATTCCATTCTTAAATATACATCCAAGAGAAATGAAAACATATGTCCATACAGAAACTTGTACATGAATGTTCATAGCAGCATTATTAATAATAGCCCTAAGTGGATATAATCCAAATGTTCATCAACAGATGGATGGATAAACAAAATATAGTGTCACCATGCAATGGTATATTATTTAGTCATAAAAGGGAATGAAGTAGTGATTCACGCTACAACACAGATGAACCTTGAAAACATTACATGTGAAAGTTAGTCATAGAAAATCCACATATTTTATTATTAAACTTTTTGTGGAGTTCCATGTGCTGTACAGTAGGTCCTTGGGAAACCACGTATCATATATTTCTATGTATGTCTCTATAAGCAAATCCATGTGTGCTAAGTTGCTTCAGTTATGTCCGACTCTTTGTGACCTCATGGACTATAGCCCGCCAGGCTCCTCTGTCCATGGGATTCTTCAGGCAAGAATACTGGAGTGGGTTGCCATTTCCTTCTCCAAAGAGACAGAAAATAGATTAGTGGTTTCCTAGGGCTGAGGAGGTTGTTGGGAAAATAAGGAGACTGGATGTAAAAATACAGGCTTCTTTTTGGGTGATGAAAACGTTCTGGAACTAGTTCTTGGTATAAACTCTTGGTTCTTGGTTGTACAAACTTGCGAATATACTAAAAAACATTGAATTGTACATTTAGAAATGGTAAAAGTGAAAGTTGCTCAGTCACGTCTGACTCTTTGCAACCCCATGGATTATACAGTCCATGGAATTCTCCAGGCCAGAATACTGGAGTAGGTAGCCTTTCCCTTCTCCAGGGGATCTTCCCAACCCAGGGATCAAACCCAGGTCTCCTGCATTGCAGGCTGATTCTTTACCAGCTGAACTACCAGGGAAGCCCAGAAATGGTGAATATAGTAAATAACTACATATAGGAAATAAACTACATCTCAATAAAATTGTTAAAAAAAAAGGGAATCTGATTGGCCCATCTTGGTCCAATCAGTTTAGCCAGAGAAATGGGGTTTATGGATAAAACATGGCTGCTGCAGCCCCCTCTCCCTGTGGGAAGGGTTAGTTCTCAGAGAAAAGGATGAGCTGTGGGCTGGACCAGCACCATAGGAGGTTTTATCCAGCCACCCCCATGACCCTTGGACCAGAAGGAAGATTGGTACCTACTCCCTCATCCTCCTCCCCACTAATACCTAAGATGAAATTCTGCCCGGATGCCCAGGACATGGCTCTGTTTACTGGCAGGTCCTTAGGCTGCCAAGGGCATGTGCTTGGGCTCCGCCAGTTACCCAGAGGCTACCTTCGTTCTGCCTCTGCTGGGTGAGACATCTTTCCCTACCAGTGCAGCCCATTGGCTTCTCCACTGAGCACCAGGAACCCCTGGGCTGCAGCCGATGCTCCCAATTTCCTCGGCTCCTCCGCCGGGGACCTGGTGTCCTTGGCATGAAGACAGTCAGCCAGGACACTCCTGAAAGTGTCCCTGAGCTGTGCAGCTCTGAAATGGGGGGTTCTGGCACCACCGTTATTGAGCACTTACTATATGCTCACTTTT